GCAGTTGTGTGTTTGAAGAAGAGCACCGTGCCTCAGACTTTTTTCAATTGGTTCATTACCTGCTTTTAAAACTAGTATTCTAAAGTGGCGCTAAACCATGATTAGAGAAGGAGAGCTTGAAACCCGTGCCGCTCGCCTCCTGCATTGTTCGCAAGCAAACTCTCTTCTCTATCCCCTCCGGTATCTGAGCAAATGGTGACGTGTGCATGATGTCCCCGAGCAAGCCCAACCCCCAAGGGCGTGAGTTGCATTGTTTTGTTGACCAGTGTGATTTCGTGGTCTACTGCCTGTTTCTGTGGGATGGATGCCACTGTGCGCCCGTTTGGAAACACTTAGTTAAATGCTGTAGAATAGATGAGCATGTTGACCGCTTGAACGCACAGGACCATTAATTTCGTTTCTAGGGATAGCGTCTGCTCGATGCCATAACTGTGGGGGACACGAATGCTGCAGGAAAAGGCTGCGCTGCAAGGTTGAGGTCGAAAGACTGGACTGACACAGTGAAAGCGCTTCCCTGTGTCTGTCTAGTTTGTCGTCCTCAACATTGCAGCACAGCCTTTTTCTGCTGCATGTTTCAAAAGCCCCCACACAAGCTTTTCCGAATGCATGTTTAATGCAGGCACATTAGCCCTGCATTGCGTTGCAATTCATGGAAAAAAAATAAAACAGGTGCACACATTCCCATATTGTGTCTAATTATTTATCACAAGCTTTAATTATCTGTTCAAGCTACAAATTACACAAACTGCACGTGTCGTATAAAATAATTTTCGCTCTGTAACGTGCTACTGTTGGTGACATCAGAGCACAGCCTTCTACATAGAGGACCGACGTTACAGCACTACTGTCTACGTAGGGGAATTCCTACATCTCCGTCATGCCCTCATTCTCTGTGCGTGCACCTGTGAAAGGAAGGGCAAGAAGCATTCATCTTGTGTCATGAGTAAGAGGGCACGAGGCTCATGCCGGGCATGGGACCCTAATGGTGGGCAGACGTGCCATGTTTAGGTACGAAATTGGTCAGAAAAAGGTTCGTGGCATTTGGCCCAAGCTGTGATGGAAAATCACGGAGGATAAGCTGGCATTGTGCTTTGGGGGGTCTGAGCTGTGAAGACGTGGGAGACCAGCATCGCTACAGTGACGGGAGCAGCATAGCCGCCCGGTTCCGAAGGATGTTGACGTGAGAGGTCCGGGAAGTGGCCGTCGACCTCGTAGGTGCTCTCGAGTTAAGCCTTCTGGACTTGCCACACTCTTATCTAGCAGTTCCTGTTGTATTGAGAGCTATCCCACTTTGTGCTAGGACAGTAGCAGTCCACACCAGACAGCGGAGTGGACCCGTCAGCAAGGGAGTCCATGACAAGCTAAGCCTAGCCCAGCGAAGCTGAAGATGACAGATAAGACCGGGACATCGGCAATGAAGACCAACAGCGCATTAGGCGGAAACTACTGATAATGACCGTAGGAGCTTGAGGAAAACGTTGACGACAGACTCGACGAATTGTCGACATGGCAAGAGCATGGAGTCTACGTGACAGTGGGAGGAACTGTGAGAATGTTTCATTAACGAAATGCCAGTTTGGCTAGAGAAAGATTAGTATTGAACTTGACTCGGAATAAAGTTAGTCCTGGCTTCACTGTATAGCCCATTATTGTGTGTTTCTTTTTTGCATTTTAAGGGTTTGTTTGGATTTTAGCCATTTTGTGTAATAATAAAATGGATTTGCCGTGTTGCCACCGACTTGCGTCTCTCTTTCAATCCAACCCTTCGCAAGCGCTCCGGCGATAAATTAGTGACATCTTGAAATTTGACTGGTTTTGGCGCCATCTAGTGTTGCAAATTTTGGCAGACATAATCGTTAACGGCCCATGTATTCATTGCGCTTGTCAGCTCAAATTTGGCAAATGTGGTCACGGGCTCTTCAAATGGCCATGAAACCATCTTTGACACTTTAGAGAAAATGTCCGCATCGAGTTCAGAATGCTTTGCCATCAACATTGCCAGAGGTGGCAGTAGTGCACTGTGCAAAGTCGGGAAAAATGCAATGCAGTGCTCCTCTTAATGTCATTCAGATAGAGCTAGCACCCTGCAGTACGTTACCAGCAGCAAACACTGCTTCTGACATGACAAGGAGTTGTGTGTTTGCTAGTCAGTTCAAGTGCTCCCTGCTCCTGCTCTTTGCATGGGAAGAAGGAGGATGGTGATTAGAAGAAGAATGCAGACGCCTAATTTCTGGGGCCTAAGAGGGAGCACGGTGCAGTGCCTTGGGAAAGAGCAAGTGGGAGTAAAATAGACAGAAGAGTTAGAGATGTAGTCGAGAGTTCCACAAAAGTTCGTCTGGTCAGGTATCGTGATGAGAATGTAGATGCCCTCACTGACCAAGTCAAGGTCAAAAAACACTCAGAGCTGTATCGGGACCCATGCGTGTTTCTTGTCCACACTCATGAGTATGATTAAAGAACCTGTATGGATCCCGAAGCGTCTGTTTTTTTTTTTTTTTCACCTTTACTTGTTCAGTAACTGCACCTACATCCTGAAAGAGCTCTCATGGGTCAGGCATCAACAGCAAACCGACCACAACGGTAGAGGCTGCCGCGATTCCCCTCTTTTCCAGGCCAGGCTCTGGAGCGCTGGTACACAGGGACGAGACAAGAATGGCAAGGAGGAGCAGTTGGGGAAGAGCGGAGACCAGTCAGTGATTGTTAAATGAACGAGGGCAGCATTTTGATCATCACTCACTTGTAACTGCACCATTACATCATTTTGAAAAATTCCCACGGCTACATACTCATTGTAGACTCGGATCACTACTGCAGCACCACGAATAAATTTCAACCTCTGAATTGTTTATGGGACCTTTAAAAGTAACATTGTATTGGGGAGTGTGTGACAATTTTTAACATTGGGTATTCATTGAAGTGAGCAAAGAGCAGTGTCGTAACATAATTGGCAGTAGATGATGTTTCGGCAGCAAGCTGCAGCAGCAGAATGGGCAGTTCTATCGGCTTTGCGTGTGCCATAAGGCCACATTGTTGGCTTTATTGGCTTGGCAGAAAACTGTAGATGCAGTTTGTGGCCCTTTGTGTTCACAGAACTAAATATTTGTTGGAATTACCTATTCGAAAGCTACTCTATTGTTTGGAATTTTCCTGCAGCACTTTCTTGCATAGAAAGTATCCATCGGTGAGTATGAACTATATAAAAAAACGAATTTCAGTTAATAAACTTTCAATGTAACGATTTATAGCATTGCCAATTATCATGGCTCCAACAGCTGTGTCAATTACGCCAACTTGATACGATTCCGCATTTTTGAGCTGTGATTTGCGAAACCATGAAATTTGCTGAAATTGTGCCTCGCTGCGCCAAAATGCCTGACCAGCCTCAAAATTTTCCCAGTTCCACAAATTTCAACAAAAAATGGAGGCCACGTTGACCATCTGCAGTTTGTGTCCTCAATCAGTCCAAGCGTGCAGATTATAACCCCCAAACCACGGTGTAGAATATAGACACTAGGTCAGGACACACTCAAAATGTGATAGAGCAGATAGTAAGAATGTCGCACACCCATTGCTCCACTGATTCCAGCGGACAGCTATTAGTGGGTTGATGCAAGTTGAAGACAAAAATGCGATGCCGCAGCCACCAACGCTTCCCCGGAAATGTGAATTTCTTAGCGAATGTGGCAGTGGCATGTTAGGAAGTAAAGGTGGAAGTGTATATCGTGTTTTCTGTGCCCACACAATCTCAACGTGCTGCGAGCGCCGGCGTTCCTGGCGACCATGTTGGTTGCCACAGCAACTGCACATAAAACACTTCTGTCTTGAGGTTGCGTCGTCCTGGCGATAAATATCCGATGCTGTCGCCAGCCAACTGGTGCACATCATTGTTACTTTATTTTTTATTGAATACGCCTTGAAAGTGAGCCGAGAAGTTTTACCCTAAACGGTTGTCCTAATTCTACTGTGAAGGGGAAAAAAAGAGGGTTGATGGGTGTACCAGCCTGAACATTTGTTGGCCTTGTTCTAACCTGTACAGAACGCTCCTTAAGCCACCTTTGCCGTAGTACACTGGTGGTCTGCATAAAAGCATATGAAGATTTGGAAGGGGTTGTTAGCACTAGTTGCAGGACACGAAACATTTTGTTCAATTACTCATGCATGTATACACCGCACAATTGTGAGAGCTAGTATGATCATCTAAACAAGTTACTGGCAGTCATTTGGACTAGTGTATGACATTTCTGTAGCTCTGAAAAAAACAAACAAAACTGTGTGCCAGTTTTCTTTTTCTTTCTTCACCTCTATCCTTAGTTTTACGAATATCCCGAATTTCAGATGCTCCAGCTTAGCCGATCCACTTTTGAATTTCATAGAGTGTGTCAAAGAATTTCACAGTCACGGCAAATGTTGACATTATCATTGTTTGTTTGGTCAGGTGCTTCAAAATACTATTTCTATTGAATTAGCACTGCTTATGCTCACTCTGCACAATTTAGGTGATGTTAAAAGATTTGTGCAGACTGTTTCTTTTTCTAAATGTAAGCTTTTTTTATGCTGCTCCAAATTTGATCTTCCGTGATAAAAAATGAATGTTGTTTGCTGTAACCTGCTCCAAATTCAGGTTTTAGTGCCCCAAAAGTAGCATTCTGCTGCTCCACAAATTGGACCAAATTCTATTTCAGCTGTTGCACTACTGCAATTTTGCATACATAGAGGTTTATCTGATTGCATAATTGTCCTGTTAACGAGCTTGGAACTGGAGCCATTAGCATCACTGGCCCAGTTCTATTCTCTCTGAAAACCTTCCAGTAAGTCTTATTTTAGAAACACGAGAAATTTTTTTCTAACAAACTTGGCAGTGTGATTGTTCTGTGCATTGAAACGGGCTTTGCCAACTCCCGCTTTGTAGTCGGCAAGTTCAATTTGGTGCAGTGTAGGTTGCAATGCATTCTCTGGAGGCAGGGCTTCTTTGTAATCACATAGCATTGTCCTCCTTTCAGCATTCTGCTGCCTTGGCAAAGAAAAGAGGGACGACCATCAGCAAGCAGTTTCCCCCAGTTCAAATCTTCTGGTGTGCAAAGAAATGGCCTTCTGGTAAGAGCCATTAGCCATTGTTTGATGCTGAAGTTATATCTTCACCAAGGCCATTCTTGTTCCCCGAGCATTTACTGGCCATGAACACACAAAATCACGGTTGCATTGGGTCTGTACATGAGAGAGGTTTTTGAGCGAATCTGACAAGCTAGAAAAAAAAAAAAAAAGGGGGACATTCAAGCGTTTTCCATTGGGAATATTCATAATGCTTTGTGCATCGGCAACACTGGGGGCATATGCCACTTTGAGTTCGGCACAGTCATGGCTCCATTAGTGAAGGCCACACATAGGCCGACTGTAAGTCATTGCTTGAATTATCAAACTAACCTTTCAACTGCAATTTTACTGTTCTGCAACAAAATGAAGAGAAGACATTGGTGCTTTGTTTGTTTAGCAAAGTGTCAACAAAAAAATTATATTTTAATTGGCTGTAGATTGTATTTGCATGCTTATGAGGAATGCTGTGACAAACAGAAAAAATAAAACAGATCGCTTGAAAATAATTACAGGCATTTTGATGTCTACAAGCAAAGTGCAACTCTTTTTTCATGCTTGTCATGATAGCCATTAGCAATGACGCCATTGAAGATCCAGAAGTGTGGTGTGGGAGATGCGTACGGTTAATAGGGAGGAGATTTTAAGGAGGGTTAGCAGCTGTACACACCGCAATCTGAATCCACAACGAGAAAATAAAGCCTAGGTCCAGTGGACAACTTTGCACCTTTGCTAAAAGATACAGAATAAACAACTTCACTCACTGCTAGCAGGTATGATACTGATACAGTTGAACCGCTTTATGAGAGGCACGCTCTGGGCAGCAATTTTTGTCTATTATATGAGATGTCTCTTATAGACAGGGTATCATGTATGCCTTTTCCTATCAACCCTTATTTTATTTTAGGAACACTGGTGTCTCTTATACCCGTTTGTCTCTTATATCAGTGTCTCTTATAAAGGGGTTAGAATGTATAAAGCTTTGAGGGCAGCGACATTCTTGTAAAGTTAAGGTGTAGTTTGTAACCCTGCAGTGAGTGCGGGCAGCACGCCAGAATCTTTAACTTGAAGGAGGGAATTGCCGATGTTGCGTACAACCTTGACAATTCAGCTGTTTTAGCGGCATTGCAACAAACACGATAAGGTCACTGTATAAAATATGTAAAATTTGGAGTCCAATTTTTTTTTGTTCACAGCTGAAATTGCAAGTCCGAAATGCCATAATTTGAAACCACGACTGTCGCTGCTTTGATCATCATGCAGGCTCCAATCACCGCTTTCTCGAATTGTAGCAGCTAAAAAGGATCTCAAAAGCCAGCTTTATGCAAAGTCGAGGTGTTATACGGTGGAGCATACTAAAATTATGAAGGAGTCACTGCCAAGCTGAGAGTGCGATGGATAATCACTGGAATCGCTCGGAATCATGGCGGCAGGCAGCAAACGTGCCAGTACCACTTAATTATGATAAACACCCTATTATGATAAACATCTTCAGCTAACTGTTGGTAGTGTTGCCACTGTCACACGCAGCATCATTAATGCACTCCGAGGTAATACATTTTGCTGCAAGTTTCATTTACACGCCATTACATGGAAACGTTTAGTGACAAATGTGGTAAAGCAGGCTTGCCAGCGAGTGCATTCGCCAGACTTTCTTCTTTGTGATGGAGTGTCTAGCCTCAGTAGCAGTGGCTCAAGGATACAGACGTTATTATCTAAGGTGCTTTCAGAGCACCTTATAAGTATCGTTTTCGTTATTAGGAATACTCTTCATTCAAAACATGCCATTCAGCAAAAAGACTACTCTGCTATTCTTGCTCTTGGGCAGCTGACAGCTACTATGCCCGGCACATGTTGTGGAAGGACTGCAGCTGCGGCGTTTGTATGTAAACTTTATTTTTATGGCTACTTACTATTGTAACACATTATAATTAAAGAACATTGCCTGGAATATGAAATATCGATTGTGCTTCTCAAGTACCTATCATCATTTCAGGTTGGAAAACAAACGGCCTCATTACCGTCAAGTTTTCCAGGTTTAAAAACAAAACTGCAGTTCTTTCTGCAACGTCAAAGTTGAGGGATACACCCTTTTTAGTTCCCGAAGTTTGCTCGGCACATGTCAGACTTGCCCACCAGAAACACTTTAAGCATTCACAAAAGGCTCGTTCCATCTCCTTTAAGATTTGCGTTGACAAGCTATTGATGAACAACAAGTTACTTATTTATGATTTCATGACTGATTCTGTGAAAGAACTAAAGTTATAGCATTCATTGCAAACCTGTTCACCGTTATTCTGCAATAGACCCTTTTCATAATTCGCAAGTGCGCTTCTCGGCACTGCATCTTTGCCCTAATAATGGGGGCACCTGTCCTACTTCAAATGAAGACCAGATCTTAGTTGAACATGCAGAGGCTTGTCTATTATGCGCATTAATTTTGATATAGCTAAACCTACATTTTTCATGTTTTAGTGCAAGTAAACTCCGCTTGGACACTGTGTTTGCAGAAAGTGACTAGTCACCATTAATAGGGCAAACTGCATAGCAGGAAAGCTAGCTTTACAATTATGAAAAGGGTCTATGCTACACAGCCACAATCCTTGCAGCCTAAAGGCCCCCTGTACGATAATATTTAGTTCCTTCTGGGAAATGTACGGAACTACCTTCCTAAAAAAGACTTAATAGGAGCCGTTCTTGATGACAGCTCTGCTAATATTGCAATATTTACCATTACAGCTTACTGCAGATACAGGCACAAACTTTTGTTTGAAGCGTTTAATGCAAACAGATTCGACAGAGTTGAACACCGGGGGGGGGGGGGGGGGGGGGTCTTTTACTGATTAAATCTAATTTATCTTTCTCTGCCACACCAACCTACAATGCGTAAAGAATACCTTGCATTAAGGTTCATGTTTACTTATGAAGGAGTGCACGGAGACCGGCACCAGAGGAACAAAAAGGACACCGCTGCGCTCACTACTAGTCTATTTCGCAGAAAAAACAAGGTTAATACATACAACATGATAGTGTACTACGTGTTACAATGTCGATCAGGTTACAGCGTATTTTCTAAAAAGAACAATTTGCAATCGCTTAAATTAGAGCACTGCATGGGCCCAGGCTTTCAAACCAGGGTCAGGCTGAAAGCTCGGGTAAGGCAATGTTGGATCGGGCCCGTGCCTAGCTCAGGCCCATGAGCTTTGGGCTCAAGTCGGGCCTGGGCCTGAGGCAGGCTCGTATTAGCCCCGGGTCTCGTATACCGGGTGTCTGAAAAAATTACAGAAAGGAGGCATTCGCATGCTACCTGCGGCGTTCCGTTTAGTTTGGCAGAAGTCATCTTTATGTGTGCACAAACATTATTTACAGCAGTAATTAAATAAATTTAAAACCATTTAAAACACAATTTAAAAGCATTGACTTATCATAGAGGGTGTTTTTGAAATGAATTACAGTTGGCCTTTCTTGGTGCGCCGCTTTTGGTTTCGCCAGCTAAATCAGCCAGATTTCATTGCTCCGCGGTGATTTCCAGTGGCCGCCATTAGAAAATTTCTAAGTGGCTCTAAATCATTCATAGCAAGAACTTAAATGCACCCATTTGACTCTGCCGGCTATTTCCAGTAGTTAAAAGGTTATTTGTTTTCATTTTTGTAATTACTGTCATAATTAGTGCAGACAGAAGCTGTCATCATTCTTTTCATCTGCGGTGACAGCGTTGACTCTTGAAAAATGAATAATCTTCACGAACTCGTCATTGCAGAAGGTAAACCATTGGCAGATGCAGTTGTTTTCCCAAGCGCCACCTGCGAACCCGGAGTTGGTCTTCTGAGTAGATTGAACCGATTGCAAAAAGTAATGTCAAATAACACTGGAGTCCATTGGGTGTCAGATAATAGAGCCTTAATCACCATTCGACTCTCCAACGACCATCATCGGTCGAGGAGCAAGTTGTAGAATATGCGAGCAGTTGTATCTACATCCTGTGATGAGATGTCGATGAGAGAAGGATTTGTCTTAGTTGTCACAACGAGCTTCGGAGCCCAGTACCACTGGTGTTGCTGGAAAGACATTCCAGAGGCAGGACATCGACATAAGAGGGTTCAACAAAGCCATCGGTTTCCGATATGGTCGCGAAGAATTTGCGTTACCAAGGACATCAGCGAAAGATCATGGCAGTGTCGCCATTTCTTTGAAGAAAGGAACAGTTCAACCTTGTGCAAAAAGTATGAAGCCACACAAGAAAAATTAATTACACCATGTTCAACTAAAGGGAAGCACGTGAAGACGCGAAACAATGGGTCCGACGCTTACACTAGTCGTTACACTAGTGGCGACGTTGACACTTACCCTCAGCATGGCGTTACACAGGAGAGAAACTTGGATAGGTGCAAAGCATGCAGTCATAGACCGGTGTTTCCTACTGGAACCTGCCAATTGCTGCTAATGGGAAATTAGAGACAGAAGGCTCCGAATAGACAGAGATACCCGCAGTCTGCTTTTAGATAACGCGCACGCTGAGATTTTTTATTGTTCGAGAGCACACGGGAGAAACCTCCCACTGGCATTGCCTTGGAGGTCAAGATCCAGTGCCTATATATACGGTGTGGCCAATGAACGGTTATGCAGCGCATCAGTCTTTTTTTTTTATCGAGGAACTTGCTAGCAGACGGTGCCTGCGTAGGCGTTGCGAGGCGAAAGAGGGGAAAGAGTAGGTGAGGAGGGAGAGCAAGAGTGGATGCGCATGCGGCATAAGGGTGGTCACGCCGCACACCAGATTGGGCCATTGAGCTGAACCCTAAGCTGAACCCTAAGCTGCTTCACATATAAAAGGGACATGTGGAGATCATCACCGCTGATAAAATGTCCGAAGTAATTCACGAAACATGTACGACAAGGAACCCCGGTTGTGTTTGTCGCCTCTTCGAACGGAGCAAAAGAGTACCCTTCAATATCCAACTTGATGAGGGAGCTGAATACAGAGACGCTGTTGGTCTCAGCTCGCCCTT